AAGTTGGAAAAACTCTATTGTGGATTTTTTTTTTTTTGCTATTGGAGCAAATGTTATATTTGTTGTAGTTTCCATTCACCACTATACAAATTTGCCCAACTATGACGACTTCTACTTCTGAAACTAAAATTAACCATGGTTTTTCTACAAATAAAACCAAAAAAATCATGGTTACTATAGTTAAACCTTGGTAACCACAAATTAACCATGGTCTTGCTACACTAACCACAGTTTAACCACGGTATTTGTAGTAAAAGCTTCATCTGGAAAGCATCTGCTGTGTACAAACATCTGATAGATGTCCATATACGATGTCAGTTAAATCATAAACATCTTCTAAACATCTATTTGACGTCTGATGGGAGACGTCCTATAGACATATTGCATATGAACAAACGCTCTAAAAAATACATCTTGCAGACGTCAAATAGACGTTTCCGTGATGTGCATGTGCTATCAGGGACTTTATATTATTTATAGTTTATCACTGGTTATCTGCATGTTTATTAGCAATGAATTAAACAAGTCTGTTTATTCCCTTGCACCACACTAAAAAAAAAAGTTAAGTGGTAAAGTATATTGTGATTACTATGCACCAAAGTAATTTAATAAAACACTTTAGAATTCAAGAATATGGTATTCGGTGCTATTAAATATAGCAAAGTACTATGGTATTAAATAAGATGCTATTATTGTACTATGGTGTCAAGCTGGTTGGCAGTTTGATTAAGTTTAATTAAAAACAAACAGATATTTAACAGCGTATTTTAATCTTCAAGAAATGGCTAAAAACACATCTATACTTGACCCTCTACTAGCACTCTCTATTCTATCTACTCATTTTCTTTTTATTTATTTTAAAAAACTTGATCTTTTAACACTTGCACCCTTTACAATACTTCATTTCTTTTTATTTAAAAAACAGAGCCTCTAACTCTAGCATTCTCTATTCTTTTTCTAATCCTAAATGACTAAATGTAAATGTAAAGTTCATGCAAACAAAAAGTGCTGCTAATTTTATGTTGCGTGTTGGTTTTTCGACGTAAAACTCATGATTTCATTTGTGTGCATGAGTACTTGAACATTTCCAACACATTTTACCAATACCGTGATAGTATTGATGACCATGATAATTTATTACCATTTACTTGTCTTTAAATAACATCATTTATTCATTAGCCTATTATTTAAATGGGTCACATTTGCTGTGCATAAACATGTTTGTAGCCGGTTTGGAAAGGGTTACCAGGTGTCTTTGGGGTTAAGCTGGACCCATGAGTCAGTCAGACAGAGCTTAAGGAGTTTAAAATATTATGTTGTTCACCATATGGACTGTCTTACCGGTCTGCAGGCGTCCAGAAGATCATGACGGAGGAGCACGCGACAGGTGGTGCATGCCTGTCCCAATCAGGTACACCCAAAAACACCACTTCCAGAACTGAAAAACTGATTTCTACAATCTCAAAAAGCGATTTAACGTCTCAATTTACAGCCCGCAGGGTGACTGCTGGAGGAGAGGGCGGGGCTGATGTCACAAGGGAGGCGTGGCCTGCACAACCACGCCCTTTATCACATGACCGGGTCACACTAGTAGTGGACGGGACTCATTTTGTGGTGGATCCTGCGGTATTCACAGCTTACCCGGATGCTACATTTTCAGCAAATTGTAATTTTTGGCCGAATTATTCTTTAAACCGTACCTAACGAGGTGTGTTTCCTCAGAATGTTCGGTCGAGCGCGTCAGCACAGTTTCACGCGACCAAACGCTAAAGGTGAATATGAAATCGCAGAAGGCATCGGCGCCAACATCTTCAGAGTAATCCTGGTACGTATGATCGCAAATTCCCTCCAGTTCACTGCCGGTTTGATTCTACGCAAACTTAACGCAAAGTCATCTCTCGTCCAGGATTATTACCGTGTCGGCGTGCTGCACTGTCCGGAGGGCTTGTCTTTGGCGGAACTGCGCGAAGCGTGCGATTATCTGTGTATAAACTTCGACTACAGCACTGTCAGATGCCGAGACCTCAGTGAGTCAAAAACACACGTACATGCGCCAAAAATAACTCAACGCACACTCAAACTCATTACCGTTTCCATCCAATCAGGTGCTCTCCTGCACGAGCTGTCCAATGACGGCGCTCGGGGGCAGTTCGAGGCGTTCCTGGAGTGGATCCTGCGGTATTCACAGCTTACCCGGATACAGTGCTTGGGAGGTACTGAACACAATAGTTCAGACAAAAAAGAACATTCGCCCACAGGCCGTCCAAGATCAGGATGAGTTTGTTTCTTCATCAGATTTGGAGAAATGTCTCAGCAATGGATGCTCTGCAGTGAATGGGTGCCGTCAGAATGAGAGTCTGATATCCTGGAGGAGCTGTTGGTGCCGGCAATGGTTGCGAGCGCTCAGGAAGGAGAACGAGAGTGCCACATCGTGGTGCTCACGGACGACGATAACGTAGACTGGGATCACGACAACCCTCCGCCGATGGGAGAGGAAAACTCGCAAAGTGAGCGCACTTTTATTAGCGCAAAGAACTGCGAATGCAAACTTGAAAAATCTAGATGCAAGCCGAGTCTGAAATTGTCTAGTAGGTACTATATGTGACCCTGCAGCACAAAAGCAATCTTAAGTATTGGTTTTAAAGGCATTAAAAATAAGTATGTTTTATCAAGTCAAGTCAAGTCAAGTCAAGTCTGCTTTATTGTCATTGAAGTAAACAACAGTGCAGATATAATTTATATAGTATGAATGTGTGTAATTTAGATTTGCTACATACAGTATTGTGTTACTGTCACATGACTATCCTTTTACTTTTCTCCTACCGTTTTTCGAATATTACAAATTCAGACGTACTACTCTTTTGCCGTACTACTATATAGTGTAGTAGTAGACATATTCGGACATAGCGATGGCGTCAAAACATCTAAATATCAACAATAAAATATGCTTTCTTGATTCTCAAGTCCTCTACAGCACCAAACTCTACCGTTTCTTCAAGTTCATCGAGAACAGAGACGTCGCGAAAGCTCTGCTGAAGGAGCGAGGCCTGAAAAACATTCGCATCGGGATCGAGGGTAAACGCACACAGATTCGAACATTGATACAATACATTCAAACGCACCACAAAACCTTATAGAGTGCATGGTTTTTTTTAGTATACAATAGCAATATATTTCTGTCATAATTTCTTCAAGTTAAACCGATCTTTTATTTTGACAGTTAGTTGTTTAGATCTTTGTTTCAGTGTGTATTTGATGGTAGTTTTTCTCAAATTAAATAGTGAAAAGCTTGTGAAGTGCCGTCCAATTTTTCAACGCCATCGGCTTTCGACTGAAGTCTTCGTTAAAGCATTATAAGCCTTGAACCAATCCAACCAGCTATCAGGCAAATCACAACAGTACAAACTTTTATTTGAAGCAAAAAAGTACTTGGAAATTGGACAAAAGGCAAAGACACTTGTTAACCTGAAAGAACTACAATCCCTTGAAGCAATGCGAATTGCAAATTTAAAACTATTAATTTAAAGTTGATTATATCTAGAGAAACAATATATTTTATTGTAACATATCCATACATTCATGCACATATTTAAGTATTTTGAGAACTTTACATCATTACATTAGATTTGTGGTGCATCATGTGAGTGGGCGGAGCTAAGGAGCTCTTTTGACGCAATTTGCTGGCCGCAGCTTTCTAATTGGTGGAATTTTCTGCACAGCATCATGGGTAATGTAGTTTTTCACCACCAATTCCGCTGTTAAACACGATTATCTTAAAAATTAAGTTGAAGTCATGCAGGCTGAAAGCTTCCGCAAAAGACAAAGGCACACGACTTTAAACTTAATGACTTTAACGAGGGAAAGAACTACAATCCCGTGAAGCGCTGCGAACAACACAACTGAATTAAAACAATGATAAATGTAATCATGTAAAGTTGTTGATTATAACTAGAGAAACAATATATTTTAAGTTTATTGCAAAATATGCATAAATATATACATATATTTAAGTATTTCGAGAGCTTTCTAATTGGTGGAATTTTCTGCACAGCATCATGGGTAATGTAGTTTTCCACCACCAAATCTGCCGTTAAACATGATTATTTTAAAAACAAGCTGTGAAAAATGTGAAATGACGGCTTTAACAAAAGCATTAAAGCACTGATTAACCTCAACAAACAAGTCTGTAAAGGTTCATCATTAGAACGGACAAATTGAATGAGGTTTTACTTCCTGACACCTTTGTGCGTCTCAGGATACCCCACCTGTAAGGAGAAGGTGAAGCGACGTCCAGGTGGCAAGTCCGAGGTCATCTACAGCTACGTCCAGCGTCCCTTCATCCAGCTGTCCTGGGAGAAAGAGGAAGGGAAGAGCAGACACGTGGACTTCCAGTGCGTCCGCAGCAGGAGCGTCCCGAACCTCATCACAGCCGTGGGGGAGGGGCCTATGCGGGCCGGGGCCACGCCCACTCCGCAGGTCGACGAGTTAGATCGGCTGAATGGCCCCGCCCCTCCCAGTCTCGACCAATGACTAATGGATTCAACTGTTGGAACTAGAAACACTGACTGGACAATAATACACCTCATTCATATTCATGATGTCACGCTCATTAATATTCAGCACCTCATTTCATATTCATATAGATAGACATTTCATATTGATTCGTTCGAATTTTGACTCATTTCATCCACGTCACTGGTTCAGTGAACTTAAAAGTACTTGAGATCTTTTCACCGCTGTGTCCTTGAGCAAGTTCTTGCCATTACTGCACTGCATTTGGCTTTGGATAAAACAATATTTGCTTAACCAATAACCAATGAATAAAAAAAAAAACAGTCACCTTTTCAGGGTTTTGGATTATTGAAGATCACATGCATTATTTTAGAATTCATTTTAGCGAGGATTTTCCATCTGTCGGCGCCATCTAGTGTCAAGGTGATGGATAGAAAATAGTGTAAATATCATTTATAAAACACTTAAGCGTTTTCTTTGTTTTATATAATTTGTAAGTGGTTTTCAATAAAAGTATCTGCACAAAAGTTTGGAATAATTTCGCTTTTCAAATGTTTTTCTGCTCACCAAGGCTGCATTTCTTGGATCAAAAAATACAATAAAACCATTAAAATTGTGAAATATTATTCTAATGTAAAACAGCTGTTTTCTATGTGAATATCTGTTAAACTGTAATTTATTTCTGTGATCAAAGCTGAATTTTCAGCATCATTACTCCAGTCTTCAGTGTCCTTCAGAAATCATTCTAATATGCTGATTTGCTGCTCAAAAAACATGAATAAAATCATAATTACTCCAAACATTTGATTGGTATAGTGACATAACTTTGTTAATTTACCTCCAAAAAATTTTAATAATTAAAAAAGTGATTTAAAAAGCACGTAACATTTTTATTGCATATAATTATAAACTATAAATGCACTTTTTGGACAAGAAGAAAAGATACTGAAGATACAAACACACACACAGACGTTACAAAAACAGCTCTGCAGATACAATTAAAGACAGTTAAATATAAGTATAAAAATATTAAATGATGCACTGCATGCAAGACGAGAAAAAAATTAAACAAAACAAACCAGGAGAGTCTTTTCCAAGAAGCTACTATTGAAATGAAAGGTTTGCATGCAACACATAAAACTACAGATGATGAGACCGAATCAACTGATCGTACCAAACATAAACAAAGGTTCATAAACAAATACAGCTTCAAACATACTAGCACTAACTGCATCTATGGGGAGGCACCCATAACTTGTCATAATAATCAAAAATAAACTGCTGATGGACAAACGTGAGGCTTTCTAACCCTAAGGCACAAAATACAGTGTATACACTAGCACTCAAATGTTTTTGAACAGTAAGTTTTTTAATGTCTCTTCTGCTCACCAAGCTTGCATTTATTTGATCAGAAATACAGCAAAAACAGTAATATTGTGACATATTTTTACTATTAAACCTTTTTTTTTTTGATGAATAGAAAGATCCAAAGATCAGCAGAAATAAAAAGCCTTTGTAGCATTATACACTACTCCATTCAAAAGCTTGGAGTCGGTATGATTTCTTTTTTGGGGTGGGAGAAATTACAGAAATTAATACTTTCATTTAGCAAGGATGCTTTAAATTTATCAAAAGTGATGATAAAGACGTTTTTAATGTTACACAAGATTTCCATTTCAGATAAATGCTGTTCTTCTGAACTTCCTATTCATCAAAGAAACCTGAAAAAATTCTACTCCTTTTTGTTTTCAACAAAATAAAAATAAATGTTTTTTGACCAGAAAATCAGAATATTAAGAGTGATTTCTGAAGGATCATGTGACTGGAGTAATGATGTTAAAATTTCAGCTTTGAAATCACAGCAATAAAATACAATTTAAAATATATTCAAATAGAAAAGTTATTTTAATTTGCAAAAATATTTCAAAATTTTAATATATATATATATAAAGCTTTAAACATCCACAGCAAAAAATAACCCTGGTTTTATTGTAGTAAAAGTGTAGTAACCATATTTTTTGGTGTATTGACTACCATTTGTATAACCACAGTTTTACTACAAATACCATGGTTATACTATGGTTAGTGTAGCAAGACCATGGTTAATTTGTGATTACCATGGTTTAACTACAGTAACCATGATTTTTTGGTTTTATTTGTAGTAAAAAAAAACATGGTTAATTTTAAGTGAAGAGCTAACGTTTCAAAACTGACGCGTTTATAGAAAAAACAAGCGTTTTTTTTGGTATTAGATCTGCTAAAACGTACCCACAAAAGCTTTTTCAGCATAAAAACTCGATTCTGATGATCTTCAGACATGAATGTAAAGTGAAAACGAAGCCAAGTGTTGATTGATGATTTGTTCGCTACGTGGCTTAATGCATTAAAACAGTGTATTTTAAATTATCAAACTCAATAAACATTGTTAATAAATCATACTATATACAGTCAAGCAGATATTAGCCATAATATGAACGCAACGCGTTTAATTACGTTTTCCTTATAACGGTTTTCTATGAGAGGAAAACGCTTAACGTGGCTTAATGCTTTAAAACAGTGTTTTAAAAGACCAAACTTAAGTTTGTCTTTACATAGTATAATTTATTAATAATGTGTTTACTGAGTTTGGTCATTTAAAAACACTGTCTTAATGCATTAAGCCACTTTAGACATTATTTTCCTTATAACGGTTTTCTATGAGAGGAAAACGCTTAACGCGTAATTAAATGTGTTGCGTTCGTATTAGGGCTCATATCTGCTTGTCTGTGCATTAAATATGCTTTATTAACTCTTTCCCCGCCAGCGTTTTTTAAAAAAGTTGCCAGCCACCGCCAGCGTTGTTGCTGATTTTCACTAATATTTCATGGCCCCCAGAATATTTAGTTGTATGAATATCTGAACATTTTGGAGAGTATCACATACCGTATTGGCCCGAATATAAGACGACCCTGATTATAAGACGATCCCCCAAACAACGTATGTACGCGGATACGTTGTTTATGTTCAGATCAAAGCGTAAACGACGTAAACCACGTATCCGCGTGCATACGTTGCATCCACGTTAAGCGTTTCAGAATCGCTCAGGATTCACCGTTTGCCGCTCTTCATGTAGGCGGGGATGGCTCCTCTGGCTGTCAGGCCCTCGAAGCGCTTGTAGGTGTAGTTGATGAAGACCCAGTCCTTGTTCTTGTAGTCCGACTCCGGGTGATGGTTGCTCGCCACCGCCGGACCTCCACAGAGCAACAGAACAGTGTTCAAACACTAGCTTTGCGACTCACAAGATTCGATTCACACATGATTCGCGACTCACAAGATTCGATTCACACGAGTTTCGCGACTCACACGATTCGATTCACATGTGATTCGCGACTCACACGATTCGATTCACATGTGATTCGCGACACAAGATTAGATTCACACGAGTTTCACGACTCACAAGATTCGCTTCCCATGTGATTCGCGAATCACAAGATTCGATTCACATGTGATTCGCGACTCACACGATTCGATTCACATGTGATTCGCGACTCGCAAGATTCGATTCACATGTGATTCGCGACTCGCAATATTCGATTCACATGTGATTCGCGACTCACACGATTCGATTCACATGTGATTCGCGACACAAGATTAGATTCACACGAGTTTCACGACTCACACGATTCGCTTCCCATGTGATTCGCGACTCACAAGATTTGATTCACATGTGATTCGCGACTCACAAGATTCGATTCACACGTGATTCGTGACTACTCACAAGATTCGATTCACACGTGAATCACGACTCACACGTGAATCACGACTCACCCGATTCGATTCACACGAGCTTCACGACTCACAAGATTCGATTCACACGTGATTCGCGACTCACAAGATTCGCTTCCCATGTGATTCGCGACTCACAAGATTCGATTCACATGTGATCCGCGACTCACAAGATTAGATTCACACGAGCTTCGCGACTCACACGATTCGATTCACATGTGATTCGCGACTCACACGATTCGATTCACACGTGATTCGCGACTCACACGATTCGATTCACACGTGATTCGTGACTACTCACAAGATTCGATTCACACGTGAATCACGACTCACACGTGAATCACGACTCACCCGATTCGATTCACACGAGCTTCACGACTCACAAGATTCGATTCACACGTGATTCGCGACTCGCGCGATTCGATTCACACGTGAATCACGACTTACCCGATTCGATTCACACGAGCTTCACGACTCACAATATTCGATTCACACGTGATGTGATTCTCGATTCATCTGGAGATACATACACTGCCGTTCAAAAGTTTGGGATCAGTAATTTTCTTAAGAATTTAAAGAAATTAATACTTTTATTCAGCAAGCGTGTGTTAAACTGATAAAAAGAAATGATAGTAAAGACTTATATTGACAGAAAAGATTTATATTTCGAATAAACGCCGTTCTTTTTAACTTTTTATTCATCAAAGAATCCTGAAAAAAGGAACTGTTTCTAATATTGAAAATAAATCAGAATGATTTCTGGAGGATCATGTGACTCTGAAGACTCAGCTCTGCATCACAGGAATAAATTACATTTTAAAGTATATTAAAATAGAAAACTGTTGTTTTAAATTATAATAATATTTCACAATATTACTGTTTTTTCTCTATTTTGGATCAAATAAATCCATCCTTGAAAAGCAAAAGAGACTTCTTTAAAAAAAAAAAAAAACAAACATTAAAAATCTTGTTGATCCCAAACTTTTGAACGGCAGTGTATATATATATATATTTAATTAATTTAATTAAATCTCTCAACTATTGCTGTGAATTATTCAGGGAAACATGTCAGTTACGCTACTATAATATTAAAGGCTACAATTAACGATTCTACAATTAACAACAAACTTCTAAACGGCACACAAGGCAGTTTTTATTATAATAATGTTATATTAATAACTTTTTAATGATATAATTGTTTCTACTTCAATTCATTTTTAATTTTAAAAGGTTTAAAATTTTAATTCTTGATGTCATTTATTTTGAAGCATTAATTTACTTTAATTAATTCATTACATTTTTGCTTCTTGGTGCAAATTATGTTGAATAATTAATTTAATAAGTATTTAGTTTGTGCTTCTTTTACACCAATAAGGACAAATTATTTAATTTAATTTATTTAGAAGAATTAATTTAATTTAATTAATTTACTTTAATTAAATTTGTCCTTGATTTAATTCATTTTAAAGTGTTAATTTAATAATTATTTAATTTGCCCTTCTTGATGTAATTAATCTTACAGCATTTATTTACATTGATAATGAACAATTTTTCATTCTTGATGTAATTTATTTTGAAGAATGAATTCAATTTAAAAGCTTTCTTCTTGATTTAATATGTTATTAACGTCATTAACCTTTGTCTGTAATGACAGATATAATTAGGGTTCTGCAAAAAAAAATTGTGTTTGAAATACAAATATTAATTGGTAAAAATTCAAACTTTCCTTGATGTAGTTTATTTTTAATTGAATTTATATGAATAATTATTTGAATAATTTGTCCTTCTTGATGTAATTTATTTTGAGGCATTAATTTATTAAACTTACTTTAATTCTATCAAGAAGAAAAAATAATAATAAAGTAAGTTAAATAAATTAATGCCTCAAAATAAATTACATCAAGAAGGGGCAACAAATGTATTATTAAAGTAAATAAAATTAATGCTTAAATAAATGTAATGGGCAAACAGTTGATTAAAATGAAAAGGAAAACATTTTCAAAATTAATTATATCAAGACGAATTTTTTTTTTTAATAATTTTACTTAATTTTCATACAATTTTTCCTTTTCATTTCAATCAACTGTTTGCCCATTACATTTATTTAAGCATTAATTTTATTTACTTTAATAAAACATTTGTTGCCCCTTCTTGATGTAATTGGCTCTGAAGCGCTCATGTTTGTAGGAATGAGTTAAACGTAAGTGTCTCACTGGTGGGCTGCAGGATGTCGGACTCGGGGAACTCGTCGAAGTTGGACGTGTCGTCGATGCTCTTGATCTCGATGGGGATCGCGGCGGGTCTCTCTCTGCGAATGAGAAGTGAATCTTCGTCAGATCAGGAACTCACGATCAAACACACGCGCTCTACTCAGTCAGACCTGATGTGATCGTAGTCGACGCCCTCGAAGAAGCCGTTCCTCTTGATCTCGTCGACGCCGGCGGCTCCGATGCGATGGTCGGCCTCGCAGCAGAAGCGCAGGATCAGAGCTTTCGCTCGCTCCGAGATCGGCACCTCCGGAGGAAACACCAGCGTCTCCTTCCAGCTCATCACCTTCTTATAGGTCTCCTGAGGAGTTTCTGAGCAGAACGGAGGGTAGCCTGCACACACACACACACACACATATATATACACACACACACATATATATACACACAC